ACGATACAGCAAAAATCAGCTGTCGCCGTCAACCATTTATAGCACCTAGAGCCATCTTTTGAAAACGGACCGAACTAAGTTGTACACCCAATATATTATTATTTATTTATTAATTATTTGCAAAAAAAGTATATAAATATCTTTAGAGCCTTTTGGCCATGATCTTTTTTTAATTTGCATATCATCAGTTTCAATCCAGACATTAGAGGTTCCTTCTCTACATATACTTGTATAATGACCATTATCAATACTTGATCCATTGTGAAATATAGCATTCATGACCTTATAAGACTGCCCAGCTATTAATACTTTGGTTGTTAAAACAGCACATAAATTAAGTTTATATTTTTTCATCGACTTATCATCCTGTAATATAATACGTACAAATATTTTTTGCATCGATATTAATTCATATTTAAATAACATATTTCCTGAGGACTTCCGTTTCCGGAGTGGATGTGCGTGGACGTGTAGGCTAGAAGTTGAATATTGAAAAGACGAAGAGGGAGTGGAGGGTGTGAGTTGGAGGAGAGTGAGAGGGAGGAGAGAGAGTGGAGGGAGGGGAGAGGGAGAGGGGAAGAGAGGTGAGTGTGGGTGGAGGAGGTGTGAGAGATAGAGAGTGTGAGAGTGAGTGTGGTGAGAGTGAGGTTAGGAGTGCGGCGTGAGAGATTGGGAGGGTAAGGGAGGGAGAGGTGAGAGGGGACGAGGAAGAGTGCGTGCGTAGGCACGAGTTGAGTAGAAGGTAGAGAGGAAACCGGCATAGAACGAAGTAGAGCGAGAAGGGAGAGTGGTGGGGAGTAAGTCTGGGAGTGAGAGGAGTATAGAGGGGAAACGAAGTGGCAGGGAGATAGTGTGAGGAGAGTGAATAAAGGGAGATAGAGAGCAAGGAAGAAACAGGTAGATTAAGGCTTTGGGATAGGAAATGGAGGGTGTGGGGAAGGGGATGGCAAGGGGGTTGGGAGGAGAAGGGAGGGAGCGTAGGGGGAGTACAGGCATGATGGAGGTGCCGAAAAGGAAAAGAGATGTGATGGAATGGTTAGAGGGAGCAGGGGGAAAGGAGAAGCAGGAGGAGGAGGGTAGCTTCCAGAGGAGTAAAAAAACCTCGAGGTCACCGGTGGGGAGAAGGATGGGGGAGGATGAGGGGATGATGGAAACGTTGAAGGGGTGGATGGAGGAGATGAGAGGAAGGTGGGAAGGGATGGAGGAGAGAATGGAGGATAGGGTGAATATGATAATGGGGGAGCTAGAGAGTATGAGAGGAAGGGAGGAGGAATGGAGAAAAGAGAGGGAGGGAATGGAGAGGAGAATTGAGGAGCTGGAGAGAAAGTGGGAAGGGAGTATGAGCATAAAGGGAAAGGGGAAGGGAATGGAGGAATTGGAGAAGAGGGTGAAGAAGCTGGAGGAAGGGGGGTGAAGGGAGGGGAGGATAAGGGGGTGGAGGAGAGGGTAAGGAAGATGGAATGGTCGTGGGAAAGAATGGAAAGGCAGGAAAGGAAAAGAAATGTAGTGGTGAAAGGGTATAAAGGGGAGGGGAAGGAGGTGAGGAATGTGATAGGGGAGATATTCAGGAGCATAGGAGCGGAGGTGAAGGTAGAGGAGGCGAGAACGATGAGAACGGGAAGAGAAGAGTGGGGGGAGATGGCAGTGGTGAAGCTAGAGACGGAGGAGGGGAAGAGGGAGGTGATGAGAAGGAAGAAAGGATTGAGGGGGGGAAAGGTTTGGATAGAAGAGGATTTGACTTGGAGAGAAAGGCGGGCTAGATGGAGATTTAGAGAGGCGGTTAGGGTGGAGGAAAAGAAGGGGGCGAGGATTTGGATGGGAGTGAATAGGGCGATGATAAACGGGGAATGGTGGTTCTGGGATGAGAGGGAGGAGGGATTGAGGAAGGGGAAGAA